CAAGGTCTTTAAGCGGGTTATAGAGGGATTACCCGACGCACCCACTTCCACGGCATACAACACAACGACATAACCTATGTCCAGCAGTGGACTATTAAAAAATCCTGCGATCTGCGACGACCGCAGCGAGTGCTGGCCATCAGGATCATAAGGGGGTACCGCACGATCTCCTTTGAGGCGACGAGTCTCCTGGCCGGAACTCCACCGTGGGACCTGGAGGCGAGAGCCCTTGCGGCTCTGTATAAGTGGCACAAGGAGGCGCGGGAGTTGGGTCGGTGTCCCGAAACTCGAGAAATCAATGACCGGAAATCCCAACTCCGCCAGGTCATCAAAGGGGAGTGGAAGGAACGACTCGGGCAACCGAGCGCCGGGCACGCCGTCATCGCGGCGGTAAGACCCGTTATGGAGGATTGGCTGGAGAGGCGTCACGGGACCCTCTCATACCGACTGACGCAGGTGATCACTGGGAAGGATGTTTCGGGGATCACCTGTGTCTGATCCGCAAGGAGCCAACTCCTGAGTGCCACCACTGCGATGGCCAGACCGTGAGACACGGCTCTCCACACGCTGGCAGAGTGCCCGGCGTGGGTTGAGCAGAGGCGAGACCTCGTGGCGACCATCGGAGTTTGAGTTCTCTCGCTCGATAGCCTGATAGCGGCTATCGTGCGAAGCGAGAGTGCGTGGAACTCTGCCGTCTCATTCTGCGAGCAAGTCATGCTCGCGAAGGAGACGGCGGAGCGGGACCGGGAGAGGTTTAGGACTCTCCCGCCCCCCAGGCCCGAGAACGGGCCAGGTACCGCAGGCGACTCAGGCGCCGGAGGTCGCAGAACGACCTCCGTCCTCCATAAGCGCAGGCCTGGGGGTGACAGGCGAGGCCATCTGTCACCCTAGCAGAAGCAGGCCGGGGTGGCGGCGAGCGCGTTGCGAAGCGCGTTCGCTTCCAGGGAGCACAGGGAACATGGGGTTCCCACACGAGGGGGTGTCGTCTACTCGTCTGTAGATGACCCGAGGTATGTCGGGGCACCAGGGACTTCCTTTCTAGGGTATACCTGGTTCCCCGGCTATTAGTACCCGAGACGGCGTGCGGTTTTAGTCGGTTCGAGTCCGACATGCCACCGACAGGTGGTATCCGAGGGAATTTCCGCAGGGAAAAAAAAAAAAAAAAAAGGTACATTCGTAACATGCCTTATTAGGCGTATAACATATTTAACAATGTCAACTAATAAAGTATAAAAAAAGAGAAAAACAATAAAAGTACGACTCAAAATTTTGGGGGATGATGTCAATTCAATTTAAATGTCAATTTAAATTCAAGTAATAATAATTATAAATTGAATAAGTGTTATTTAATGATTATTTTCCATTTATCAATAATCACTAATAATATTATACTTACATTTAGTAATTAATATTTTATGCATTTCTTTCTTAAAGTTTGTAAGGTCCATTTTTTTATTATATTCAGGAAACTTATTGTATATTTTAGGTGCCACACCCAAAATATTTTAGAGTTGTTAGATTACAGTTGTTCTACATTTCCTGTTGTTAATATTGTTTTTATATTTTGACCTTAGGAGACGTGTACGTACTTGACCGAGTTAACTGAAAAAACTCCTATTCCGTTTTACTTTATATGTACACATGCTGGGAAATGTTAGAATTCGCAGTGCCTTAAACATTGGGCCACAACTGTCTGTAGTTCTGAGCCCACACATTACACGTATACATCTTTTTTTGTGCCCTGAACACTAACTCCCTCATCGATGAATTTAACAATTTAAAAAGTGCATAAGCTACTTGGTTAAGTCTTTTACAAATGTTAGTTGTATGATTTTTTCATCATAGCTTACAATCTATTACTAATCCTAATTAAAAAATAGTACTATCCGTTTCTTCTGCAGTGTATTCTACATAATTAATGTGCAGTTTTTCTGTCAGTCCACGTTGACGAAACTGCATAAATTTGGGTGTCCTTATATTAATTTTTAAATTGTTAACATTTAACCATTGAATAATGTCTTTTAGTGCATTATTTATATCATCTTCAAATGTGGCTGGGTCTCTGCAAGCAATAATCGCTGTGCTGTCATCCACAAAGAGTATTGGGTTGCACACTGCTTTTGGTAGGTCATTTATATACAACAGGAACAAAAGCGGTCCTAACACACTACCTTGTGGGAGGCCGAACTTTGTATACTTGTGTTGGTAAATGTTTTTTTTCTATTTTCGATTTGATTCGATATGATTCTATCAATTTTAGCGTCGTATCCCTTATTCCATAGTTATTTAATTTGTTTAGTAGTCTACAGACAATTGGGGTTTTGTTATCTACATTTGTTATGACATTATCGACTAATGTTAATAGTAGTGTTCTTCCGAAATGCTATTTTATTATTATTATTATTTACGATATCTAAATATGTATAAATATTGTTGTAGTTTTTTTTTCAAAGATGATTTTTTTTTTGTCAAGATGTGTTCCTTCTGTTATGCACATGTTTAGGATATATTCTAGAACAGGCGCTAACGACTTCGCTACTAATTTAACAACCACTGTTGCTATGCCATCATGTCTAACACTGTTGGTATTTCTTAAATTATTGATTTTTGTTTCGTCACTTGGTATCTCTGGTGTCATAGATATCGATTGTAAATGTCATTGACTTTCCGTACTAGTGTCACTAAAAATAATTATATCAGCATGTGTATCATAATTTATTTCAGATACTTCGTCAACAACAACGACAGAGGGATTTGACTGATGTTTTCGCGCCTTCGTGATGCCAACTATTCTAAAAAGTATCACACACTACCAGACGACTGATCACAATCAATAGAGACAGATGGTTGTCAGGATGAAAATTGGCTCAAGCCTAAGTAGCGAGAGAATGATTTGGAGAGATTAGAGTTATAACTTACCATATGATTCTCACACTAAACTAATCTAAATGAATCTTCTCTGACAACGGATAAATTTTTATTTCTTCATTGACCGAACTTAACTCTGTAAGCAACAAACTGCCAAGCTGCATTTAGCTTTTATACATTTTTAAATACTTACGAACTTTAAAAAATCATCATTGGTTTTTGTTACACTCAAGGTTTTGTTTGTTTTTAGCTTAAAATTCCTAATTCAATTTTTTATCTTAATTTTTAATCCCCGACGCAAAAACGACGGGGTGCTATAAGTATGACATGTCTGTGTCAGATGAATTGATGTCTGTGTCAGGTGTGTGAACAGATGAACCGATTTTGTTTTGTTTTCTTTTTTGTTTGAAAGGTGAATTAGTTGGTAGCTATGTTTGATGAAAACCGGTCCAAGATGGCCGACGCCACAAAATGGTGGATTACATATATTTTTCACAACTCCCCCAATATCAGTATCAAATGAAAGGGCTTGATTAGTAGATTAGACAAATTTCAAATTCAAGATGTGTTTTTTTTTTTTTTTTTTATTATTGTAACTAAGATTCTCAAAATTAATTCTATGAAGCTCGACATAGTTGATTATGATTATATACATATATTATTCGTATATTATAAAAAAAATTAGTGATTATAGTATGGTGGCAGAGAGATGGAGGTGGAGGGAGGAGGAAAAAATCCTTGTTCTTTGCTTCCTTGATAGTAGAGCGAGAAAGCTGCACTGAACAGAAACTGAATGCGACGCTTTGATAGACGGCTTGTTTTGTTTTGTAGTGTCAATATGGCAGACGGTTTTCAAGCAGTGAATATGCCTTTTTTACATTTCAGTTCAATTTATGTATTTTGTGAGATGGGCGTAATAGTATGCAAAAAAATATATTATTCCTATCTGTATCAATTCGGATTCATTGTTTTTATTTAACTTATACTAGCTGACACGCGCAACTTCGTCTGCGTCTCTAAATTACTCTTTAGAGACGCAAATTTTCTCCGTTTTTGAAACATTCTTCATTGGTGCTCCGCTCCTATTGGTCTAAGCGTGATGATATATAGCCTATAGCCTTCCTCGATAAATGGACTATCTAACACTGAAAGAATTTTTCAAATCGGACCAGTAGTTCCTGAGATTAGCGCGTTCAAACAAACAAACAAACTCTTCAGCTTTATAATATTAGTATAGATTAAAAAATGATTGTATTGGTTGACATGAGGTGTCATCGCAATTCCCTTATTAAGATCAATCAATGGTATTAACGTGCGTGTCAATGGACGCGTAATTATGTTACAAAACCCACGTTCACTTTTATCATCTGAACAGCCTAAGAGAATATAGAAACCACGTCAGTAATACTTCTGCCTGCAGATTGTTAGAATTAAAAGGTATGTTAATATTTAACTATTTTATTAATACCTAATTAATATGTAGGTATTATACACGCTTCCAGGGTAAATCCAAGAATACCACAAATCACCACTGCCAATAATTAAAACACAGGTATTGGCTAGAATCACATTTAATCAAAAATAATCCTTTCCGTAAAAGCATTCCTTTGCAATGAAACCATAACTCGACTTAAAATCGATGAACACCATCTAGTGAGCCACAAAATATATACCATTAACCTCAAAGGTAAGAACAAATTGAATTGCTACATCGTATTAACCGATGAGCACCATCTAGTATCAAACGCGATAGCAAAAATTTAATATTATATTTACAACTTTTTGTGTTTATGTTTCCTTAACAGGTATGTTATTTAAAAATATTCATAATCAAAAAAGTCGACTCATAATAATGTAATATCATTAATAATAATAATATTCTACCACATTCACACAACGCCATCTAGTCCCAAACTAAGCAGAGCTTGTACTATGGGTACTAGACAACTGATATAAATACATATATACTTTTTTTTGTAAATACATACATATTATACATAGAAACACCCAGACCAAATCAAACATCAAATGTTCATGCACACAAATATTTGACTTGAGCGGGAATCGAACCCGCGACCTTTGGAATAGCAGTCCGTTACACAAACCACTACGCCATCCGGTCATTAGTATTACTAAACGTACATGAACGTATGTGATTGGGTATTACTGTCATCAGATATTTCTACTTTAAAGTCGGTATAGTATTTAAGCGTTATCGTTTCCGAGGCGAACTTAGACATGGGTGTATGCATAATATGTTGCAGTTCCCTGAGCTCCATCGCATAAAAATGATGTCCCTCAAATTTATTTTCATAGTTGCAAAATACCCATCCATTGATATTAGATTCGTATATGATTTGGATTTCCATCGTATGCTGTATAGCCGTTACAGTGGCCAATACCTTACCTCCAGGAGGAATTGTAACGATTGCTGTTGAGTTCTTTCCAACCGTTACTAATCTTGATTTGAAAAGACTTTCACCCCAAGGCGCCGAGTAAATCATCGACGTAGTACCGCCTAAACTTTCATCTCCAAAGTTAATATTATAGTAGATTTCTCGTCCAAGACCCAGATCTTCTCCTTTTGTCCAATTATGAATGATTTCCTCTAAAATGTCTAGTGTCACATTGACATGCTGCGTCATGTTGTTTTTGCCGAAATTATTAACATATTCCTGGACACCAAGAACAACAGAATCCGAGCTATTCCTTTTTACAGCACCATAAAGTGGCTGGAGCGTGGTTTTAACAACATCCCAATTATATTTTTCGAACACGTTTCCCCAGGGTGTTGGCGGTTTTACGTAAACATTTGTACAACGTTTGCCCATAAATACTTCGGAGGCGTTTTTCAAGGATTCGTTGCTGAGCCCGAAAATCTTCATCTCCTTGTCGCTGATTACTGACACCTCTTTACCGGTATAATCGATGAAAGCGCTGTAACCATCAGACTTCGGTTTTATGCGAACTGTAATACGACTGTACGCAAAGGTTGGAAGAAGTGTCAGTACTAAGTATTTCCAAAACATTTTGATCTGTAAACATAGAAATAACGACTGTTACAATATTTTCGTCATGTTTTAATTTTAATTTTTTTAATTTATTGATTTTAATAATATACAAAACATACGTTAGAAAGAAAGAAATATTAAACTAATCAATAATGTGAAACCTCTCAATATGTATGAAATTTACAGATATTTTGATAGAGATACCAATAAATTCCATAATATGTATTATTTTGTAGAAACTGCACAAACAAATCAAATCCATGCGAGATAAGTTAACTATTCATAACGTGAAATAAATTATGATAATAAATTGTAATCCGTAGATAGTTAAATAGTTTTATATATAGAAGATGTTATAACATCATCTAAGGGTGGTTTTCTTTATAAAAGGGTACTGACCTGATTTGTGTTTGCCTATTTATATAGAATATAGATTAAAAAAACACCAAAGTATCATACACAAGAATATCAGAATTAAGTTGCTATACCCTAAAATGATATAAGTATAGAAAAACAAACCTTCTTGATTTACTCTTCAGAGGTCTAGATATAAATGCAAGTAAAACGTAATAAAATTGATGCGTCTCCTTTGCACACATGTTCTTATCAGACAAAGTAACTCGCCTGCTTGTTGTGTAAAACTCTCTTTACAATGATATTTTAACTTGTTTGCGCTCGGGACTTCGTCTACGTAGTATTAATTCTAGTAACATATTTCTGATCAAATTTTACTTCATTTCTCAGGAAAAATAGAAATGTTTTATTTAGTACTATAGCTTAGTAATTTAATAATGCAAGAGTAACTGATATATGTGATTCTCCATATACAATACCACAAACACTACTCTAGTGCACCTAGTTTCTTTTTTTTATGTTCGAGGCAAACGAGCAGACTTGTCACCTGATGGTAAGCAACTACCACCGCCCAATGACACCTGCAAATCAAAAATCACAAGTGCGTTGCTGCCCTTGGAGTCTGGGGATTTGGGCTCTGGTAACCTCCCTCACTCAGTGGTTTGCTTTTGGTCTCTTTGGTCTTTTTGGTCTCTTTTGGAACACCGGTTTTCTGTGAGGCTGTGGTATCACTCCGGTCGAGTCGGCCCATTAGTGCCAAAGCATGGCTCTCCCACGGTCCTATACAATCATACCAATAAATTAAATAAGTCCATTTAAACAGAAAACCATGATGACAAATATTACACTGTGAACTTACCTATTCTCAAACCCGTACCGGGTTTGAGAATAGGTATCTTAACCAGACTGCCGATGAATATACTTATATATATTTCTAAATACATCAAGAGCTAGCCTCTTGCTCTGGCTAAAGAAGCATAATGTTTTGGCATCTTCTGAATAAACAAATATTGTTGATGAAAACATTTAAGTATATTGAGCAGCTGAAATCAAAGCTGAAGACAAGATAATGAATTAAAAGTTATGATTTCAGACGTCAGTTCCTCCTAACGACTTGTTTCCTTCTTAAAAGTACCTTACTCCTTTTTCCCTACCAACTACTCTCTCTATGTCAAACTTTCAACATCTTCTATCGGGGTCCACGTATGAATGAAGGCCCCCTCTACGGAGCGCATACTATCCTTGTCCTGGGCAGTCTGCAACCATCCGCTATCAGCTATTTTCTTCAAGTCAACGGTCCATCGTGGCGCAGGACGCCCTACACTACGTTTGCCTTTGATGTCCAACTTTGATTCAGAATTAATATCAGAAATCTTAGTGACAAGGTTATTTTAAATTAAAAGTAAGAAGACTAAAATTTAAGTTATATGCGTATTTTACGCTAATTTTAAACAAGTCCTTGAGTGTAACAAAAACTATTGACGCTGTGATTTCTTTATTTATTTATCTCGTTTTCACCAAGACAGTTGGGTGACGTGCCTTGTACATAAGAAAAGAATCCTTCGATCCTCCAGTAACCAGCTTCTTCGTTGTCCGTCCCATACATATATAAGTCTTTGACTCATCTTTTTTCATTTAGGCGTTTCATTTCTTCGAAATAAGGAAAGCCACCGCCACAGTTACATGATTAAAAGTAGTGTTTTATTCAAACAATTGGCAGAATCAACTTGGCTCTTATTTTGAAATTTATTTTCGAAAATTATGCATGATTGGATGTTAGGTACTTAACTGAAAGTTAACAGAAGGATCCCATGCAACTGTAAAAATATTTACAAGTAAACTATGGCCCTTAGGAGCGAACCAGAGACCGTTGAAGAGATCGAAAGGCGATTATTAACTGCTTCGAATGTCTTCAACATACAGACAAACACTCTAAATGTTATGAATTATTTCTATCAAATATCTATTTGTGACTTATATTATCTATAGTTTTAAATATGAACATGACATCTAATCCTAATTAATGTGGAGTCATTCTATTGGTTTGTTTGTTTCGATTTCACGCCTAAAATACTAAACCTATTGTCGTGAAATTTCGTATACATATTGACAGGAGTACAAAAAGACATAATGTTTATTTCATCTGTTGTTGTTTTGAAGAAAAATAACTTATCGAAAGAAAATGAGTGAGTGAATTACTAATAAGGTCAACCGAGGTTAAGTGTTCATTGCTTGATAGCCTAACTACAATGTTTTTAAAGATAAGTAATATCTTACAAAGATCATAGATGACGATGGTCGCAGACCCCTTTAAATTGTGGGAGATTTGTGCTTGTCACATATGGGTCAGCTGCACCGAAATGGCACCAGGGTCTCATAAAAAACCGATTTTAGTCAATTTTATGCGTTACATTTCACCGAGTTAATGAGGTTAACGGAGAACCCTTCCCTCTAATTCTAAGTCAAATTCTGATGACTGCATGAATGGCATAGTGATTTAAGTGGTCGCCACACCGCTTCCCGAGTGTTGTAGGTTCGATACTCATATGGTTCTAAGTCTGGGTGTCCGTTTCATGTATGTTAGTAAAATCCCCCGCGACACAGGATATAGGTAAATTCCTAATACGGGAGTTGTTTTTTTTTAAAGAAAAAAAAGTTAGGAAGGGGGTGTATATTATTTGTTTATGAGCAGGGGGGGATCACTTCATTATTGGAAGACCCATCTTTTTTTATGAAATAGAGATTCTTAGGACTGCTACATTCTCATCTATTCTCCATTTCTTTGTTTGGAGAATATCAAGAATCATCGTTTCAAGAAGTTCAACTAATCCTTGTACTTACTATATGACTGTGTGCATGACTAGGTTGAGGGGGTTTTCACTTGTAATAAATAATACATAACTATTTATATTCATTTCATAATTGGCGTAATTAAGCTAATGCAAAACGATGATAACTACCTCGATGGTGCAGTGGTAGCGTATGCGACTGCTGTGCTGAGGTCTCGGGTTCGATTCCCAGGTCCGACCAAATGTTCGTGTCATCATCATCAACAGACTTTACTAGTCCACTGCTGAACATAGGCCTCTCCTTAGAAAGGAGGTTTTGGCCTACTATACCACACTGGCCAGACGGGTTGGTATGACGGGGTTTGTGTCAAGTTTTCCTTCTTTTTGCTGTGCTGGTGTCCTGCTTAGTTTTCTCCCTTAGTCGGCTCTTACGACACCCACGGGTTGAATAGGGGTGGTGACATTGTATTCTTAATCCGTCACCATACGGACAATGTTTTTGTGATCTACAAATCAAATCATTTTATTTGCATAAAACAGATATAAAGCTGATAAGTTACATGTATAATATGTATTTATTTATAAAAAAAAGTATAAGAGTATTCTATCAGTCAATCTAGCTTTCAGAGTAAAGGCTCTACTTAGTTTGAATCTGTCAGATGTTGAAAAAAAACCGTACATAATCATAATCGTAGATTTTATAACTAACTAAGATTTCACGCACACCTTTCGTCTAATCCTAGACAGTCCTAGAAACAATTTAACATATCTTATTCTTTCATGTCAGTGCGAATACTCTTTCGTTAATCACAAAATCATTACTATCGCGGCTGCCATGCAATCGTTCTTCAAAACGAATGGTAACCAACTCAGTATGTGTAAACAGGTTCCACGGAACAGGCAAAATTTCATCCTCACCACTTGGATAATTGGCACTGTACGCACAACAAATCTGTACAACGGTTTATCGTCTGCGGTATTTTCTTCCTCAAAGGCCAGCAACGCGCTTGTCACTCCTGAGTTGCTTTCCATCAGGTCACAGCTTGACACCTCTTATATGAAAAAAAACCTATGCTCTAAATGTATAGCTATTTTTAGAAATCGCTGTATTATAACACTTAGAATAGTTTTCTTGCTTAAGCATGTTATTTGTGCAAGGTTATCATGTTCCAATTACTAAAACTAAGGAGTAAGCAGTATAATAAGGCCATCAATAAAATAATTAATCAGCCACACTTATCAGAAAACTGGTCTTAACCTTTTAGCGATAAGACAACTTGGCACGCCTTATAGCGTAAATCAAACATTTGTTAATTAAATTTATTAGTTATTTGTTTAATAAGCATATCTATGACACGTGTCAAACAAATACATTGTATTTTATTGTAGTGTGATTGTAGGGATTATCTGTTTGATTTAATGTCATGCAGTTTTTTGTTATAGTTTTTTCTTTCTTGTAATACAAGCATGATAAGTATAAGTAAATATTTCATACGAAAGACCGTATTTATTGTTTGATGCCAGATTTGATTATTGCCAGTTCATCCGAAGGTTGCCGTTGAAAAATTGCTTTTTGCGATAAGGCCACCCTTTGTACACTTATCATCATCATCAACAGCCTTTAAAAATCCACAGCTGGATATAGGCCTCTCCTTAGAAAGGATTCTTTGGCCTACTATACCATTCTGGCCAGACGGTTTGGTATAGGGTTTGTTTCAAGATTTCCTTCTCTTGCAGTGCTGTTGTCCTGCGTAGTTTACTCCCTCAGTCACCACACGGACAACACACACATCCGTCTGATCCTGAACTAGACAGAGCCTGTAATTAGAGATAAACATAATTATATGTTTCTAAAGATATATATAATTATATATATCTATAATAATATTTTAAAGCTGAAGAGTTTGTTCGTTTGTTTGTTTGTTTGTTTGAACGCGCTAATCTCAGGAACTACTGGTCCGATTTGAAAAATTCTTTCAGTGTTAGATAGCCCATTTATCGAGGAAAGCTATAGGCTATATATCATCACGCTAAGACCAATAGGAGCGGAGCACCAATGAAGAATGTTTCAAAAACGGAGAAAATTTATTACTATTGAGAGACGCAGACGAAGTTGCGCGGGTCAGCTAGTTATAGATAAATTTCACCCAGACAGAACAAATAATCGTGCTCATGACACAATTATTTGCCCTGGATGGGAATTGAACCCACGGCTTCTGAATTAACAGTCGTGATTACTTACCGCTGGACCATCAGGCCAGCCAATCGAAAGAGAGGATGGAAATTTATCTGGAGAATTGGGAAAAAATCATCAAATTCATTTATTTACTGATACAATTCTGCCATATGCAACTTTACCCAATTATCTTGATATGCAAAATTAACATTAGTCTACATTGATATTTGTTACAATGTTAGGTTTCTAATTAATTAATTTACATTCAGACCTAACATAGTAGGTCAAAACCTCCTTTCTAAGGAGAGGCCTATTTAAACCAGTGGACTAGTAAATGTTGATGATGATGATGGATGTGTATGTTGTATGAGGTTATTATTATTATTATTACCATAAGAACTTGCATGTCAGAGAGCTAGGACATTCCAGCAATCGTCAATTACAGTTACAAGCATGTAACCATGAGCTGCTCGAGCTATTATTGCAAGCAATATCCCGTCCCTATCATTCCTTTCTTATTAACCTTACCTTCAAATATAATTCGTAGCTTAATATTTATTCCCAACAAATATTCCAACTTTGCCCGCCTTGCGTACAGCGCTGCCACAGCGTCGAACTTCAAACTCTTAATTTGAAATTTAGCGCTATAGCGTCGAATTTCAAACGAACTTAGTTTGAAGTTTGACGCTGTGACAGCGCTGTACGCAAGGCTGGTTCCTTAGAGAATAGCACTGCTGATGTTTTATGTGATGAGCACTAACATTTGTTCTGTGTCTGTGCTGTAATTTATCGATAATATGTATGTATTTCGAAATATATACAAGTAAGTATGTTTATCAGCAAGCTGGATACCATATTACAGGCTCCGCCGAGTTTGGGATCAGACGGTCGTGTGTGAGATGTATAAAGTATGATGTATGAATGATATTTGTTCCTTTTACTTTCCTTATTTTATTTTATAAATTCACATCACTGTTACTCATAAGTGTTTCTTGCAAAAATTTTATACATGTATTTACAATCAAAATATCATCATCATCATCATCATAAACGGCTTTTAATGGTCCATTATTGGATATCAGGTAACATTTTAATGTTAAATAATTGCACTTCAATAATGTGTTAAAACGCAGTGGGCAATTATATATTTTGTACCACCTATACATGTACCTGTACTTGCAAATTAATTGATTTGATTTGAAAACTAAAAGCACTTCGGTCAAAGAGCAGAAAACCCTTCCCCCTCCTCCACCAATAATAGTTGACGGGGTTTAGGACTACGAATCTTTCTACCAATTTCTATCATCAACTTATCAACAGCCTATAACTGTAAACTGCTGGACATAGGCCTCTCCTTAGTATGGAAATTTTGGTTGGTAAAAGGTTTGTGTTAAGTTTTTCTTCTCTTTACAGTGCCGTTGTCTGGCGTAGTTTGCTCCCTGAGTCAGCTCCGTATTCTTAATCCGTCACCAATTAGTATATACAGGCTGACTGCCTGTGGATCCTGGTGTCAGTGTGTGGGTTTTGTTATGTTTGTATTTCGATTTACTTTTAATTCATAAGATCGGATGAAGAATTTCTTCCGTTTCATCATAGCTTAGTTTTAGCAGCCAGTCTGTTACAATCCTTTTGCATTCATATTTATTTTTACAATCAATTTTTAAAACTTTGTTGACTTTTATGTAAGTGAATCGTCCGAGAAAGGCAAAGAATCTATGACTAAAAGATGTCCTGTGCCTGTCAGCTGGTGAAGTTTAAACCTGCGTGAAGTTGGTCGCAGAGATAAAGAAAGATGATGAGATTTGAGATCAATTTTTGCAGAATAAATAGTTAACGCACTGTTAGAACTTCACAGTGCTCATACAGTTCTTTTGTAGCATAGCGGTACAGTTCAAAGGTGCACACTTCTAATACAGTCCTCTGTGCACGCTTTAACTTAATAAATTTAGTCTTTAGAGCACCACCCCATGATAAGATACAATACCCCAACAAGGACTGCCACAAGGCATAAATAACTGTTTTCAGAATGTTTGGTTCTGCAACATGCCTTAGGTATTTGAAAATAAAGATGAGTTTACGTATTCTACCTGTTAAAAGTTCAATGTGCTGCACGAAACTAAGACTTTCGTCTATAATTACACCTAGGTACCTAATGGTAGCAACATCTTGTAACTGAGGGCAATTGCATGTCAGATAAAAGCATGTAGTGTGGTTAGGAGCCGTAATAGAAAATCTATTTGGTATACTGTTGTTTTTAATTTAAAATCTTATGATTATAGTCTTGTCAACATTAATCGCCAGTGTGTTATCTGCTAACCACTTAGTTATTCTATTGAAACTGGTTTGCGCCTCATTGTAGACTTCTACGACCCACGTTTGGCACGATAAGATAAGCATAGCATAAGCGTATCATCAGCAAATGCCAAGAGTTCGCCATCTGTTATTTTTAATTCGCACATTTCATAAACATAAACGAGGAAGACTGGCCAGCGTGGCATAGTAGGCCAAAACCTCCTTTCTAAGGAGATGCCTATGTTCAGCAGTGGACTATTAAAGGCTGTTGATGATGAAGAAGACTGTGGGACCACTGATGCTGCCTTGTGGTACACCATATTCTATGGGAAGTTCTCTGCTAATGTACTTACCAATCGTTACACATTGTGTTCGGTTTGTCAGATAGCTTATAAAATGATTCAGTTGTTGGTCTCTAATAACGATATGCTCTAATTTGAGAATTAGTTTGGGGATGGAGACCTTGACGAAGGCCTTGGCCAGTTAAGCTTAACAGCTAAACTATTATTTGGTAGTACTAAAATTGTGAAAAAAAATATTAGTGTTATTATTTATTCATAAATTTAGGTATCTTATTATCGCAATACACAGAAAAACCAACTTTCTAATGGAGCTTAAAGCTCAGCTTAGCTTAGCTTAGCCATCAAGCCGACGGGTCAACTGATGGTAAGTGGAAACCGCCGCCCATAGGCCATTGTAACTCAAGATTTACAAGTTTCCTTTGAGGTGAGCGTATGGTCTTTTCTTGAATTTCTTTTAGGTTCATAAATACCACAGGCAATTTTTGTTCAAAAGGTCGGTTGTGTGAGGCAAAAAAAACATTGAGGACCATTATCATTGGCTTCGTGGCAGTATTGAGTATAATTTTAGTAAGAAAGGAATAATAAAACATGTACATAATTGGCACTAATTTATTTCATTCACAAACGACACTTAAAGTCATAAATATTATCTATATTCTAATTTTAAACATCAATAATTATAACAATATATCTCACACATCTCACACACGGCCGTCTGATCCCAAACTAGGCAGAGCCTGTACTATAGTAAAGAGACTGCTGATAAACATACATATATATTTTTTAACCGACTTCAAAAAAGGAGGAGGTTCTCAATTCGATTGTATTTTTTTTATGTTTGTTACCTCATAACTTTCGACTGGGTGAACCGATTTTGATGATTCTTTTTTATTGGAAAGCTGGTGCTTCCCGTGTGGTCCCATTTTAATTTAGTCTAGTTCTGACCATGGAATCTATGAGAAAACCATTGAAGTCGGTTTTTTTGTTAAAATTTTATTAAATAGATACATATTATAGATAAATTTCACCCAGACATAGAACAAATGACCGTGTTCATCACACAATATTTGTCCTAGGTGGGAATCGAACCCACGACCTCCGGTTTAGCAGTCAGGGTCACTAACCACTAGACCAACAGGCCCGTCAATATAATAATCTATATGTATAAAAGAAGATACTGACAGACTAATTCACTGACTGGTCGATCAACGCACATCTGAAACCGCTGGGTCTAGAAGCATGAAATTTTGCACAAATGTTCCTTAGGTACCGTAGGTGTTCACCAAGAAAGGGTTGGTTTTAAAATTCACTAAGGATGCAAAATAGGATTGGAAATTTTTAGAAAAGTTATTGATTTTTGGCATTAGCGTTTTCAAACTTACAGTAAATACTCTTTATTAAAAGTTATTATCCTCTTTTACACATATACCTATAATCTTGATTCATTATATCTTCTACGATGTCTGATGTCGACCACCACGCGGACGAAATCGCGGGCTAAAGTTAATAATATATGTAAACATCCATACAAAATCCAAAATATAATATTAAAACTATCGATTGAAAACAAAATGGAGAAGAAAATTGTACCAATTAATATTAATAAACGTATAAAACACTAAACTAAAATTTCTTATCATCGGTCACATTGACAATTCATTTGGTGTATTCTTAATTGGGACTAGTGCCATTGTTCACTACTGTTCTAGCAGTGGTATAGAAACCAATCGAAATAATCTCAGTGGAGTACACATCCACTGGTACATCTACAGTTTTCAATAGATAAACTAATGGCATCGAATAGAAATAGTGACCTTTATACTTACCGGGATAGTTACAAAATACTTTTCCACTAAGACGGGACTTATATTTAATCTCAATATCCATCGTTCCTTCTGTGGCCTGAAGTGATGCTCTTACCATATGTTTTGGAGGAACAACAACCAGTACTGTTGAAGTAGTACCGAGGGTAACTGCCCTTGATTTTGATGTTTCCTCACCCCAACTTGCAGTGTATGACATTGAGGCACTTCCGCCTGCACTGCCTGCACCAAAGTTAACACTGTATGAAATTTCCATTCCTAGTCCCACTTCTCCACCTGTACTCCAAGAATGGCTGACTGACTCTTCAACCTGGTGAGTCACGCTCGTGCTGTACGTAACATTTAATGAGTCATGATTATTAACATATTCCGCATTGCCAAAAGCAACAGGTTTTGAATTTATGCCGACTACTCTGGCTTTAACCGGTGTGACAGTCTTCCTAACAACTTCCCATCCATATTTTTCGAACACGTCTCCCCAAGGTGTCGGAGGTTTAACATAAACATCACCGCATCGTTTTCCCATGTATTTTTCAGATGCTCTTTTTAAAGTTCCATCATCGATCCTGAAAACTTTTCGGTCTTTGTCGCTAACGTCGACCTTCTCTTGGCCATGTAAATCAACAGTAGCATCGGTACCATCTTGGTTGGGTTTGATATTAATTTTTATATGGCTGTACACAACAGTTGGTAGAAGTATTAATATGAGGTACTTTTCCAGCATATTGATCTGAAAATTCAACATTATTATAATTCAACATTAACATTATTCATAATAAAAGAAGATGGCAATTCTGTGATTAAATTTCCTATTTTTCCACAAACACCTGTAAATATCTTACAAGTACTCTCAAGTTACTATAAATTGAGAAAATGGTGTGAAATGTTCTCTGTCAAAAGTAATCTATCATCTAAGCAGGCATTTTTTGCATTTACTTAAAGCGGCCAAAATATGTTTATTAAAGAAGCTCATTTTAAGAAATCGTTATGATCGTATTTTACTGATAAAATAAATAATAGTGTCATCCTCTTTTCAAATTGAAAAATTTGGATTTTTCTGAATTAGCGCTTAGATTTCTGATTCATTTAACTGCCAAATTTAACTTCAAGTGAATGATAATGCTAATAGTGTTTGCGGCTAACGTTAATGGAACTAAATATAAGTTTTAGATCATGCTGTAACAATACAAACAAATCTACTGATATAATAAAATATATATAAGTATTCCTAAAAATTCTTGTTCAACCAAACAAAAAATCAATGTAATTGAATTGAATTGAATTGAAAATCCCTACTCTTATAATGTTGCGAGTTGGTTGTTCTTAAAATTCTTAGCTAAAGAATAAAATATAATACCTTTTTTTAACTATTTTAAATTGACGGCTAATTTCAATACATTTGTATTGAAAAATTAATTAATTAAGTAAAGCAATCTTTGTTGGAAATCACTAACCACTTACATATTTATGTGTACTTCTTCTTTTAATATAAATATATATTTAAAAAGCAAATATCTCTCTCTTTTGTTTACAACAATAAATGTCTCCCGGGAAGCTTTTTGTGCTATGATTTTTTACCCCGACGGCACGGTATATGCGTTTTTAATTTTAATCTAGGCTAAGTGGTGACCATGTAGGTTTTTTTTTCCTGTTTCAATGTGTTAACATTGAGACATTCCCGTGCCTCGGAGAGCACGGTAAGCCTTCGGTCCTGGTCGCCATACGAACTTTGTTGGCAATCGTTATGGATATTTAGAGCCCTAAAAAGTCTGGCAACAGTATTTCTACAGAACTTCGATATCGCCTAGTACTTGGGTTGTGATGGTCTGATAGCAGTCGCTCCACGTATCGCAATAGACTTAAAGTAGACCTCAACCCAGTTAGGCAAAAAGGCTTGGAGGAAAAAAAGGTTGAACCTTTAAGGAAACTTACGAAAATTTAAAATCTACATTTTGGAACTCTACTCCTACGATAGCAACGGTTATTTCTTGGTTTCACGATTTAAGCGTAGTCCAGAGAACCTAAACGATGACCACAGACCCAATCGACCTACAAAGAACTGCTGTGACTCATGAAAATATTATCAGTGTAAAGTGGTTTTTGGAGCAGAGTAGAAACATTACATTGACGACCGAATGGCGTAGTGGTTTGTGTAAAGTACTGCTATTCCAAAGGTCGCGGGTTCGATTCCCGCTCAAGTCAAACATTTGTGTGCATGAACATTTAATGTTTGATTTGGTCTGGGTGTTTCTATGTATAATAAGTGTGTATTTACAAAAAAAAAGTATATATGTATTTATATCAGTTGTCTAAAACCCATAGTACAAGCTTTGATTAGTTTGGGACTAGATGGCGTTCTGTGAATGTGGTAGAATATTATTATGTTACTTAGTTTGGGACTAGATGGCGTTGTGTGAATGTGGTAGAATATTATTATTATTATTGAAATAAATGCTTCGTGGCATGCCAATTTAAGATGTTAGTTTTAGACCTCAGGAGATACGTTTTTTAACCGTTTCAAAATCTGATTCACCCGACTGTATAAGTATATTGAGGTTGAAAATAAATATTTTAAAAAGTAATAAATAAAGTTATTCACATTCTCAATTTTTGGCCTACGTATAGTCTTTCAGTGAAAAAAAAATACAAGCAATTTACAAATTCAATACACACAGAACTTAACTTGAAATATTAGAAAAATACATTTATCAAAAATTAATAAAGCTGAATAAAATTACGAAACGTGTGGTGACGGATTAAGAATACGAAGTGTCACCACCCCCATTCATCCCGTGGGTGTCGTGAGAGCCGACTACTACTACTACTAGTAAACTACGCAGGACAACAACACTGCAAAGAGAAGGAAAACTTGACACAAACCCTATACCAACCCATCTGGCCAGTGTGGTGTAGTAGGCCAAAGCCTCCTTTCCAAGGAGAGGCCTATGTCCAGCAGTGGACTACTAAGGGTTGTTGATGATGATAATGAAGAAAATTACGAAATAGAAGACCAGAAAACACAGAAAAACTAACTTATTTAAAATAACTTACTCACGTTTTTGTTTAATACAAGTCAAAATCAAATAAATTTAGCTGGCGTACCCCACGACCTGTTTCGTTGGCCAGTGAATGGCTTAAACGTTCTAAGATGAAATAGCACATTAAAATTATGTGAATCTCCGCTGAATCAGTTGTATTATACTCAAGTGTTTCCCGCAGCTTAGCTCGCATAAACATTTGAGAAATGACGGAACTGAGCTTACTTTTTTCATTTTCAAAATCATTCAGCGAGGGCTTTAAAACACTGGAGAGAGCTATGCTTGGTATGACTTTACAGGGTGAAATTCGTAACAAAGTGGAATCACTTTGTTACGAATTTCTTCTTCATCAGCAAAGTGATTCCACTTTAGTACAAATTTCACCCTGTAAAGCCTGCGTCATGTGTGAGTAACCGACATAGTTCAAAGAACTGTTAAGCTAAAGTGCCCAGCCAATCCAGCCCAGTGCAGCTGCGGTAACCATTCAGTGTATGCTGCACATAGCTTGCTCCACTTGTTGTTGTTGAAATAACATTATGCTGTCACATAACATTTTAAACAAGCATATTTAGGATGTTTTATCTCCACGAATTCGCATTAGGATAAGTATTACTATAAATAAAGCAATAAACAAAAGTTGCAATGCTAAAAATAATAATTATTATAGTTTAATAAAGTAGGTAAAATCCTATTTGGCTTTTATAAAAGATTTATATTACGCACAGCCGAGCTGCTCCGCATCATTAAGTTTAAGTTGAATGTTCACATCTAGCTTGACTTGAACTCAAGCAATTTAAGTAGCAAAAGCTCAATAGAAATAGCTATTTCGTGCGAGTGTAAGTGCGTTCGTGTCCAAGAAACTCAATTAGAGCCAAAAAAGTAGGCGAAGAAGAAGTATGCTTATGGAAATAAGTGATTAAGTGATTTCCAAGTGATGGAGTTTCAGTAAGCTTCGACGTAGGTGAGGTGAGCTTTGACAGTATCGTCTTTAATAGTCCAGTGCTGGATATAAGCCTCTCCTTAGAAAGTAGGTTTTGGCCTACTATACCACGCTGGCCAGACGGGCAGTATGGCACATGTAATTTTAGTCAATTTGATGCCTAACCCAGGTGGGATAATGGACTGAGACACATGCACAAAACTATGATCTAATTTTTGAGGAAAAAAGAAATGAAAAATCACTTAAAACCTGTATTCCGTTAGGCCGTAGTTTCATTTTGGCCACCCGGTCTATATCTGCTAAAATATGGCTTACGTATGGCTATTTCAACGAACAGACAAATATTATTATAGTTTTACAATTGGTATGATATTGTTAGGATAAACATTAAATATATTACATTTTAACAGATAGTACATGACCTTTGTAACTTACATGGTCAAAGGTCAAACTAAACATACCACGTTACTAATTAATTATTGTATTTTCAATATTGTTTGTAAACAATTTAATTTGTAACCAATTTGTTACAAAGGAAGCATAAACGTTTAACCCAACTTCAAGAAAGGGAGGAGGATGTCAGTTTTTTTTTATGGCAGAGGGGGCAGACGAGAAGACGTGTCACCTGATAGAAAGTGACCATCGCCGCCCATGAACGTCTGCAACGCAGGAGTCACAAACGCAGTTCTTCAGTTTGTTAGATCCTATTTTTGTTACCCACATACTCTAAGCTGGCTGTATCCATTTGTTAACAGGTGTGAAAAGTAACTGCCCCATTACTTTTTAAAATGCCTTGTACATGAAAATAGTGGCCACAGATGGCCATCGCAACTTCTCATTTATTAAATATGATTAAGGAAGGACTTAATTATTAATGTTATTAAATCCTTTATACCAAGAGTGAAATATATAGCAGATGAAGAAGAATTAGTACTAGAAATATAATAGATAAGAGCCAAATGTAGGCGAAAAAGAAAAATGGATCGATCATATTTGCACTTGCAAAACTAAGACCCCTTCGGTGACACTCCGGCAACGGCACTCCTACGAGGATAATCAGCAAAGGCTGATAAGAGTAATGGCCATAAAATTAGTCTTAAGCTGTTAATCAAAAATGACTCTGACGAACGGAAAATGTCATCATCAAAACATAAAAGTTAGTCCTTTAATGCAAAAGATGCCAAGCCCATGGTCATACAGAAGCATACTGTTCAAAGGAGATGGATGAATTGCACGGTCAAGCATCTTGATAAATACTGCATTAAAGAACTAAAAAGAAAACTGAACTGTATTTGAGAAATTGATAGCCCAAACATCTCCAATCGGCTCGATCCCTTGGCGTTACGTAGAGATATGGTTTCACTCTGCATTCTCTATCGCATATATCACGGAGAGCAATATTTTCATCATCATCACCTGGATGGTTGGCGCTCCTGTGACTCCTGAGTTGCAGACGTTCATGGGCGGCAATGGTCACTTTCCTTCAGGTGACCCGTCTGCTCGTCTGGCCCCTCTAACATAGAAGAAAAAAATCGAGTCTTAGTGTTTAGACTCGTACATTCAGGTAATTTATTGAAAAAGTCTTTTTTTATCTTAATAACCATTGACATTACTAATTTTACAATTGCACAACATATTAACAAATGAGACCAAGACTGTCTTTATTTTTAATAATTATATACTGAGAGTATTAACTTTCTAACATATATGCGGCCATTATTGTTACCTGGAGATAGGTGCTCTGACATAAACACCTTCCTTTCTTATCGTCTCATCGCCGTTTTCTTATCGCCAACAATTCCTACTATTAAAATTGTCATTTCGATTTGATTTATTAATAAAATTCATCTCGCTTTCTCACACTTCTAAACCTACTTTCTTTCTTCAACAGTTACTCTGGTACGTTTTACAATATCGTCCTCCCTGAAACTGCAATCCACCACAAGCGCACATTGTTCTAAGAGCTTAGGTAGGCTTTCGTTCTCATGTTCAGGTTCACCTTGTATCTCCAAGTTTTCCATGTTGCTCTAAATTGTTGAAACTCATGAAGAAAGACTATGAAGACTAAATCTTTTGAGTAAGAGTAGTTTAGTGATAAATAGAGGAATAATTTTATATTAAATATATTGATAATTATGAGCACATAAAGCAGGATAGACAGCGTATGACAAATTATAGACCTATTGCATTGATGAGTCTTCTTGAAAGTATTTGATAGGGTCATATAACATAGCGTTGTATATTATATAACTTGAGAAATCAAATATACTGGTTAATGAACAGAAAGGATTCTGCAACCATAAGAGATATATATATATATATATATATATATATATATATATATATATATATAATATATTACGTGTGTATGTGTATATATGTATATATATATATATATATGTATTTATGTGTATATGTATGTATATATAAAGGAATGTATGTGTATGTGTGTACTATTTTGTATGTTTGTAACAGATTCACAGTAATGCTCATGTCTCCTAACTAATTGCGTGGATCTTGTTGTACATTGCATGTTCTATGTTTATAATCATTTATTAGATACAAGAAATCGATTCATAGGTATACTTTAGCATTAACGTACGGAGGAGCGGAGACTCGGTCGTCGGTGCAGTAATATGATTCTTCCATTCTACTCCATCATTCGTCATCTCACTGTTTACTTCGTTCCTAGCCATATCCACACTCACGCAGTCCATCCATCTTTTCTTTGGGCATCCTCTTCTCTTGTACTCTTCAACTCCTATACCCAAAACTTTCTTCGCCACATCTTCCTCATCGCTCCGCATGATAGGAGTAGAGTATTATTTATACAACAAAACACAATTTTTTGTATAAATACAATAATTATGTCCACATCTAAAGATTATGATAAAAATATCGATCCAAAGTAAAACATTAAAATTCACCCTACCGCAGGGCAGCGTGTTGGGACCAATACTTTTACTACGTTAATTATATAAATGACCTAGACAAATAGACCATCCCATGGTGCTATTTACTGACGATAGCACAATAGTAGTTAAATGAGACAACCCTAATACTTATGTAAATGAAATAATGGTTAATGTTTAAATGGAAAAGACAAAACTGTATTTTTATAGAAGAATTATAAATATAAATATTAATTTTCTAGGGACTATAATTGACACAACGACTCAAACTATATTCCTTGGTATCATTAATGATAATAATGGAGACCCCAGGCATACGAAATTAAAAAAAAAATGAGAGCATTAAAAATTCCAATCATATTTATTAAATAGAAGAAAGTTTATTGATTTCAGTTTTACAGTAATTCGTACTATAAAAGCGTATTCTACAAAAAACTATAAAAGCGAAATCAAAAGGACTAAGTTTCTATTCCATTCTACCGTATTTAAATTCATCAGGAATATAATCTAGGCAAAAAAACCAGAATCTGTAATGCATTTCCTTAATGCGGGAGTAGTCTTTTTAAAAAGATAAGAAAAAATATCAAATCAAATAATTACGTAATTGGTATGAGCCAACACTCAAATACTGTGTATCTTTTTAACACGCTTTTATTAGCTCGGTATGTTTGTATGTATGTATCTATGTAACGGAATCTTCTATTGTGATTTTGAGTCACTTCAAAACTTGAAACTTCGCACACTTATTTACACACATCCATTTACACACATATACGTCCCCATAACATATACACATACACACACACACACACACACACACACACACACACACACACACACACACACACACACACACACACACACACACACACACACACACACATACCGACTTAGAAACACACATAAGCACACCGACACATATCATAGGTATCCGATCTCCTTTTATTATCTACCCACTCCTTTTATGAGTTTAAATTATTATTGTACTGCGACTTTAGTTCATAAAACAAATGTATGTTACTATAATGGGAGAGGGCACTGGCTTCTGTAACACAGGTTTACCTAGCACAGAAGTCAGGGACTTCATAAACTATCTGTACTGTTACTATAAATAAATTATTTGAATTATTATTATTATTATTATTTTTATTACTTATTAAGGACCGATGACAATACAATAATCTGATCAATTAGGACGATTATCCTGAACAGGACCTTCAGGATTAACGGCTTTCTTCATATCTAAAAATACGGTAGTGTCTTTTCAACGTACTAAGAGACGTGTGCTGAAGCATATGTCACTTACTTACTTACTTTTTTAGTCTTAATGAGAAAATAATCATCATTTATGACGAAAAAGCAAAAATAAATTATAGTTTAGTATAAAACTAAAAAACACGCTTTTGTAACTAGACAAGCTGGAAAGTAGAAAATAATTTTCGTCGTTAATCGTAAAAAATCGTAAAAAATTTCAAGATATTTTATAATATAATAACTTTACTTTTACCAATTACTATCAATAAAATATTTTTGCAACAATGAAGAGGGTACACTACACAAATACGAATTTTTTTATTCCCGCAGTCACAAATTCGAATTTCAAAATACAGATTTGCATAATTCCGATTGGTTCAAAATTCCTAATATAACAACTCCGATTGATCATTCATCCTATTTTGTAAGTAATTCCAACTATGCTCAAAATACCGAGTTCCAATAGATCATCAAAAATTCGAATTATTTAATCATAATAAAAATATTTTCTTTCGCTGGGGACAGTTCTAACCTAACTTTACTCAATGATTCACCAACAAGAGAGGGGATCTCTTTAATGGTCACAGTTCTAACCTAATTTTACCCAAAGAATTCAATGATGGTTCCCGACGAAGGTATATACCAGTATATAAGGAGAAGAAGAAAACACACAAAAAAATACACAAATATTAATAACAAAGTAGACGTTTTTAAATTACATTCGACATTACGTATAGCTCTTGAATGAATGAATGAATGTGCGTAACTAAATATTATTCTAACTGAATCAAAATCTTAATCAGTTTATTCGAAGAATTGAAAATCGGAATGGCGTTTTTCGGACCCAGATCCCATCGAGTATTTGATTCTTCGAACGTATAAAATTCGGAAAAAAACACATCTCATTTACGACTTTCGGTAAAATAAATCTTGTCTATTTTTTTTCTGTTTGATTGTAAGTAATAATAGAGTTTTGTAAGTAAACCACTTTCCTTTGTATTTTTGTTGACAAAACTATATATAACATGTAACAAGGTGAAGTCACTGGGTAGGACCCAGATAATATAGTTCTCACAAGTTTAGAAGCCAGCATTTTTATACTACATGTGATATTTTACATTACATTACATGATATTTGCAACATTATAACAATATTGTCTCCTGGCACTAGCACTGACACGTCTTATTTGATTTTATAGGAAATGAAAAAAAGCGTTAAACATAATTGACACTAATTTATTTTATTTATAAATGACATTAGAAACAATAAATCTTATCTTACACGTCAGGAAAAAAACACCACATACATAAAACCCAAATTATAACCTTAAAACCTATCGACTGAAAACCATTGGGGCATAATAGAAAAGTGTATCTAATATTTAAAACCATCTACGATAAACCGGTTCGTGGATTCTTAATGGACAGAAGTGCTAGTCGTATTGCTCACCACCAATCTGGCAGTACTATAGAATCCAATTGATATCCTCTCGGTGGAGTACTTTTCCACTGGTAAACCTATGGTATTCAACAAGCTCTTTAATGGCATTGAATAGAAATAATGTCCTTGAAATTTATTTGGATAGTTGCAAAATACTCTTCCATCAAGCCTGGACTTATATTTAATCTCAATATCCATAGTTCCTTCTGTAGCCTGAAGTGATGCTATAACCATTTTTTTTGGAGGAACCTCAACCAGTATTGATGAAGTAGTACCGAGGGTAACAGCCCTCGATTTTGATGTTTCCTCACCCCAACTTGCAGTGTATGACATTGAGTGACTACCGCCTGCACTGGCCACACCAAAGTTAACACTGAATTCAATTTTTATTCCTACTCCCACTTCCCCACCTTGGCTCCACGTATGGCCGACTGTCTCTTCAACTTGGTGCGTCAAACTCGTACTGTACGTAACACTTAAGGATTCATGATTATTAACATATTCTGCATTGCCAAAAGCAACAGGTTTTGAATTTATGCCGACTACTCTAGCTTCAATCGGTGTGACAGTCTTCCTAACAATTTCCCAGCCATATTTTTCGAACACGTCTCCCCAGGGTGTCGGGGGTTTCACGTAAACATCACCGCATCGTTTTCCCATGTATTTTTCTGAGGCTCTTTTTAAAGTTCCATCATCGATCTTGAAAACTTTTCGGTCACTGTCGCTGACGTCTCTCCTTTCTTCGCCATGTAAATTAACAGATGCATCAGTACCGTTCTTGATGGGTTCAATGTGAATTTTTATACTGCTGTACACAACAGTTGGTAGAAGTATCAGTATGAGGTATTTTTCCAGCATGTTGATCTGAAATTATAATTAAAATTAACTTTAGATTAGACTAAAATTAATCATGTGATTGACTTTTCTGTTTTTCCACAACTTAAATTTATAATATCCTAAATTAATTATTAAAACGTATGTCACCACCCCTATTCATCCCGTGGGTGTCTTAAGAGCCGACTAGGGCAAACTACGCAGGACAACAGCACTGCAAAGAAAAGGAAAACTCGACAAAAAACCTATATCAACCCGTCTGGCCAGCGTTGTGTAGTAGGCCAAAACCTCCTTTCTAAGGAGAGGCCTATGTCATGCAGTGGACTATTATAGGCTGTTGATGTGTGATGTGAAACAGTGAAAAAATTCTTAATATGTAAGTATATAAGAAGGACTCCAAGAAGCAAACTATACTATAACTAACTATTTAAAGTTTTATGTCGACTTTTGTAGGAAAAGAGATTGGATTAAAATTGGATAATTGACAAACGCATAACTTTTTGAAAAATCGACATATTTATTTTTAACGGGCTTAAATTATTTCAAGTATTCTGATAACACGGTAATTTTTTCAAATTTAAAAGAGTGTGATATCCTACTTCAAGCAGTATTAACCTCATGCCGTAACGGCCGCGCGGAGACTTATTTTCGGCGTTGAATAAAAATGAAAAATAATGAATTTTTACTAGAAATTGCCTTCTCTTTAAGGATCTTTCTTTAAAAATTCTTAAATATTAATAGTCTTTGAGCTATTAACGAAAAACAGAATACCTGTTTTTTTTTCATCTTATTTTTATATGCTAATAAATGCTCCAGATTCCTTTTTCTAGACATCATTCCCAATCGAATGATCTATGACACATATTTTTAGGACCAGGAACGAGAATTAAGAGATTTTTTACTTATTGACTGGACTGTTGGGAATCATAGTTGTGTGCCCCTTGCTGCCGGGTTGCACAAAGCACAAATATCCATTCACTACAGTACTAATAGTGCCACCAATATTCTTAATATTTGCCATGCCTTGTATACTTAGAAAACGCATAGGAGGAGTATACACCAAAAGGTCTATCATCCATCACGCATTCACACAATGCACTATCTATTAAACCTCATATTTTTAACAGATCAGGTGATCTGATCTGTTAAAAATCTGATCAGGTGGCGGACCAGTGTCTCGATACATCATACGTAATCACCGATTCTGTATTATTGGCAACTCAAATTGGTTACCTTTTGCGTGTTAGTTTTACATTTTTCAAACGCAGCAACCAATGGCTCTGAAAGGCTAATGTCGGTTGAACGACCTATATTTTTATTTCTTTATGTTTATCAAATGTCTAAGTATTCTATGAGACAATCTATTTGTCATAGAACTCTTTTTTTTCCGTTCGGAAATTCCCTTCGGATAGCACGGTGGCATGTTGGACTCGAATCGACTAAAATCGCATGCCGTCTCGGGTACTAATAGCCGGGGAACCAGGTATACCCTAGAAAGGAAGTCCCTGGTGCCCCGACATTGTCATAGTACCGTCAGTACCGTCAGTATAGTACCGTAGTAGTCAGATATCGGAAATATTATTATTATTATTTCGTAAGCCCATAAAATTAGCGAAATATGTTCTTTCCTAGTTTAGTTTTTTTTATGTTAGAGCGGGCAGACGAGCAGACGGGTTACCTGATGGAAAGTGACTATCACCGCCCATGAACGTCTGCAAAGTTTTATAGAACTTTAGGTACAAAACCAACGCGAAGCACCAATAATAAATGTGAATATTTTAAGAAGGGGATGTCAGAGTCAGTTTTTTTTGGTATATTTTTAAATTTTATGGTATAAGGGGCCAAACGAGCAGGTCACCTGAAGCAACTCAAAAGACACAGGTGCGTTGCTACTTTTGGAGACCCTCCCGCTCGAATCTGCGGGAAAGGGATTTGGGCCTCACTCACTCAGTGAAAGCCAAGAACTAATTGTTTAACACCGGTTTTCTGTGAGGTTGATCAAATACCTCCAGCTATGTACCTTCTAGACAGCATGGTGCTTTATTTTTCTGAAAGATCTGAAGAGCGAATGACGGTTTGAACAACCTATATTTTTATTTCGTTATCTTTATTAATACTTCTATGTGATATGACTGTTCGTTTCGATAAGATAAAAGAAAAGATGTAAAGAGTTTTAGAGTCTTGAGGTCAGAAACACAGACTTTTTAAAATTCCTTTTGATCCAGTCTTTAGGAAACTAGACAAGTCGATTTATAACACTTAAGGTCTGGTTAGATTACATTTAATCTTCGGTCTTGCAAGGCCGACATAAATTAAACTAAAGGTATTTAGTAATGCTGTAACAAAACATAGCTGTTAATAGAATGCTGTTTAAAATATATACCCATACCAGGGATAGCGTTTTGCGATAAAAAAGTAAATAACAAAAAAACCCTTACTTTTACAAGCCAAGTTAGGATTTTGACGGTAGTACACAACGGTCATAAAATTTAACCACAACTCTATGTATTATAATAGAACTAAAGTTACTAAATTAAACTTGATTTTTTTAAAGAGATTCTTATAATAATTGACGCTTACGAAGGCGTTACAATTATACATACAATATCTTGAATTTCAGATAAATGTCCTAATCTATTGCCATGTTATGAGAATCACAAAAAATAATTAATTAAAAAAAAACATACTCACTTCTTTGTTTATTCTAAGACAAAATTTTAGCTGGAGTCCCCCACAACCAGCTAAGTTGGCTAGTGAATGCCTTAAATATTCTAAGATCTATAACCTATATAACAAATTAACTAGACTGGTATGTCAATTTCCTCTTTTAATAGTTTTATTATAAACAAACTGTTGCCCGCGGCTTAGTCCGTGTGGGCCGAAATTGGTAACGAAGTTATTCAGATATGACACATCATCATCATCGCCTAAAACAGCCCACTGCTGGACATAAGCCTCTCCTTAGAAAGGAGGTTTATGTCTACTATACCATAGAACTAAGGTAACCGATATGGCTCGGAGAACTATTAAGCTAAAGTGGCCATCCACTTGTCCCGTTCTTCCCGTTGCCCCATTCACCCGTTGAAAAGAAATGAAAACATGGCTCAACCTGTTTTCCGTGAGGGTGTTGTATCACTTCGGTTAACCCATCCAAAATGATTGTGCAAAAATTTACCTCTTACACTGTTATTTCAGCGAACAGACACAACATTATTTTAATTTTACAATAGGTTTGTTATTATTTCGATAAATGTGTAACATGTTACATTTTAACAGATAATACATGACCTTTGTCGCTTTTAAGGTCCAACAAACTAAAGTTACCACGTTTCTAATTATTACATATTCAATATTGTAAACAATTTAAATTGTAACAGTTAAGTATAAATTGATACCTTTACCCATCAATCATAATCATTATCAACAGCCTATAATACGAGTAGTCCACTGCTGGACATAGGCCTCTCCTTAGAAAGGAGGTTTTGACTAAAGGAGGTTTACTATACCACGCTGGCCAGACGGGTTGGTATAGAGTTTGTTTCAAGTTTTCCTTCTTTTTGCAGTGCTGTTGTCCTGTGCAGTTTGTTCCCTTAGTCGGCTCTCACGACACCCACGGGATGAATAGGGGTGGTGACATTCCGTATTCTTAATCCGTCACCACACGGATATTACCCGACTTCAAGAAAAGGGCGAGGTTTTTGGTTCCACAGTTCAGCGAATCTTTTACTCGTTTCTGTCATTGAGTTAAAACAACACTAGAGAAGCAAACCTCATTATCACACGTCGAAAAAAGTGTAACCACTTTTGAACTTTGACGACGTAGTTTTGATACCACTAAACATTTGAAAGTAAACATATTTATGTCTCATTTACACGCGAGACAAGAACAATACCATCGCTCGGATTAGACAAAGACAAAGACATAACTTTACGATGGTGGGCCAGTGTTGACTACCGTATGAAATTTTACCCATAACAACTAAGAAACATTTTTTTTTACAACAATTTTGTAATAAAATAAATTAATTTAAATATTCTAATATAATATATTTCGAATTTAATAGAATAGGTATAAATAATAAAATAACTGGAAATATTTGGTTAAAAGGGTTTATATTCAGTGTAAAATCAAACTGCGCTGTGAAGCATCAGTTTTGTATACAATTGTCTTTTAGACTCTTTTTTATAAGTTTGTGTGGATATTTTACTTTCATGATACAATCTTATTTTTACGTATGTAAAAATAATAGCATTTAATAATAAAAGTGAATGATCAACTTGTACTGATAATAAATAATCCCCAGGGTGTATTGTAAATTCTATTATAATTTAAAACACAAAAAAAAAACCTATTTTTTATTTTTTTTATTTATATTTTATAAAAAAAAATATTTATATTTATTTACTTTTTTATTTTATATTTTTATTTTTTATTTTTATGATAAACATTTTTTTTTTATTGTACAATTTTTATTTAAAATTGATAATAAATTAAGAAAAACAATGAATTAATTCTTTTGTACAAAAGTCTCCAGCACTGCGAGCTTGGCACTTCTGCCAAGCTCGCAGTGAACGTTCAACGGGTCCCTAAAAAAAGTGATCGGTCCAGCCCTAACAACTACCGTTCTTCCTATATTTTATTATTACTGGCAAAATGTTTAAAAACAGTATAAAGCATATTATTTCATAAATTATAAATTCTCCCACTAATGTGGGAAAACCAAAATGATTTTTTAATGGTAACACTGATTCTAAATTACAATTATCAGTGTTTTATTTCAATTATAGCCTTATTTACGATATTATCAATACAAAAACCATACACTTACACGTGAAAAGTAATTTCGCATGATTTATTAATGTTTTTTGACCTTGAATCGCATTCTTTCACTACGCATTTACGCATTTTGGCGATTGTTACTGTCATGTGTCGCTATGTTCAACTCGGTTGACGCCACATTGAACACTGAATTGACGTTTGCTACGCATATGCCTGTGGACAGATGTGCAGTAGCAACGATTTT